TTTTTTTTAGATGTCAGAGGGACTAGCCTATTAAACGATGACTAAAATGCTTTTTTTTAAATCTTGCTATTACTTAGATTCATAAAAAAATAAAAATCTCTCGTTTCTTAACTTTTTTATCAGAGCCTATAACGAAAATTTAAAACACATCTTTCGTAGATCTCGGTAACTTATATTAATGTTGAAAATTTTTTATCGAAATCGGTTCATGTTGTTATGAGTTACAACAAATTAGAGATCGCAAAAATCGCAGTTTTATCACGATTTTGACCAAAAATTGTAAGAAATCTGCAATTTTGAAAATCCTTCAACACCTGTAGCTCGACTCTGGGTTAACCGATTTCGATTAAATTTTCAGCGCGCATATAAGTTACCGAGTTCTACAAAAGGCATTTTTTAAATTTTCATTACAGACTCAGATAAAAAAGTTAAAAAACCAGGGTTTTTAATTTTGTCTTTTCATTCTAAGTAATAGCAAAATTAAAAAGAAAAAGTTTTTTACCCGTCGTGTAGTAGACTAGTTCATCATCTAAAAAAATTCAAGTCATTTAGTTCAGTTTTCAAAAAGTTATTGCGTCTTAAAAGGTGCGCGAATACTTTTGTGGCCCATCGTATATGGACCATAAAAATATTAAAAGGTCGTTTTACAAAAGCAGGATTACTTATTTTCATTCTCTGCATCTTAATTCTATTTCGAAATAAGAAAACAAGAAAATATTCAAAGATAGTTACTGCGGAAGATATATTGAATAGATTGCTCCTAACGTTTGATCCTTATACTGGGTGTTCCAAAATTATGTTACTTCTGGAAAATGAAGAGTTCTTGAAGTCATTTGAAGTGACTTTTTCTTTAGTGAAAAAGGATTCCGCGACTTTGTTTACGAGTTATTAACAAAAACCACTGAGCAATGAACTNTCATTTGAAGTGACTTTTTCTTTAGTGAAAAAGGATTCCGCGACTTTGTTTACGAGTTATTAACAAAAACCACTGAGCAATGAACTCGTCTCTCAGTCAGTATCACAATCATACGTTAAAAAACATAAAGATTTAGATGGCGAAGCTGAAAAATTAATAATTGATTAATGTACAATTTGTAATAATAATGATAATAATATTGTTAAAGTAATATTTTTATTATTTTTCCTTCAATGTATTTGTAGCTTAATGTCACTAGATTATTCAATCCAAATTTCACAATTCGGGTCACTAAAAAAATTGTAATTATTATAAGTTATTATAAAAAATATTTTTTGATATGCTTATGATTCGTCTTTACCTTTTCGGTAATTTGTGCATGTGTGGAACACAAAAGATAAATATAAAACACATATTTAGAAAATAAAAAGTAGATTGCAGAACTATATTCGAACAATTTTTTCTTAATCAAAAATATCGATGAAAATTAATTAAAAATTATTGTTGAAACAATCCAAAAAATATTTAGTTANTCATCTAAAAAAATTCAAGTCATTTAGTTCAGTTTTCAAAAAGTTATTGCGTCTTAAAAGGTGCGCGAATACTTTTGTGGCCCATCGTATATGGACCATAAAAATATTAAAAGGTCGTTTTACAAAAGCAGGATTACTTATTTTCATTCTCTGCATCTTAATTCTATTTCGAAATAAGAAAACAAGAAAATATTCAAAGATAGTTACTGCGGAAGATATATTGAATAGATTGCTCCTAACGTTTGATCCTTATACTGGGTGTTCCAAAATTATGTTACTTCTGGAAAATGAAGAGTTCTTGAAGTCATTTGAAGTGACTTTTTCTTTAGTGAAAAAGGATTCCGCGACTTTGTTTACGAGTTATTAACAAAAACCACTGAGCAATGAACTCGTCTCTCAGTCAGTATCACAATCATACGTTAAAAAACATAAAGATTTAGATGGCGAAGCTGAAAAATTAATAATTGATTAATGTACAATTTGTAATAATAATGATAATAATATTGTTAAAGTAATATTTTTATTATTTTTCCTTCAATGTATTTGTAGCTTAATGTCACTAGATTATTCAATCCAAATTTCACAATTCGGGTCACTAAAAAAATTGTAATTATTATAAGTTATTATAAAAAATATTTTTTGATATGCTTATGATTCGTCTTTACCTTTTCGGTAATTTGTGCATGTGTGGAACACAAAAGATAAATATAAAACACATATTTAGAAAATAAAAAGTAGATTGCAGAACTATATTCGAACAATTTTTTCTTAATCAAAAATATCGATGAAAATTAATTAAAAATTATTGTTGAAACAATCCAAAAAATATTTAGTTATCTGTGATTAAAAATAGTTAATTTTTAAATATTGTTAATGAAAATTTCATTGCGATATGTCCAATCGTTCAAAAGTTGTAACAACATGTTACTGAATTTTCCCACTCGGATGATTGTGTGTCTTCACAACGCACGGAGTTTTTTTATAAACATCGCACGCATGTGGGGTCAACAGCAGAGTTCGCGAGTTCCGATCAGCTGTTATTCGAATAAAATATTCGACCAAGAATAATTAATTCGGATAATCATCTTAAACAAATTTATTCTAAACAATGCGAATATTGTACAACTTCTGCTATGTATGTATATTGAAATGTGATGTACAGTGGCCCACAAAAGTGTTTGTACACCTTTTAAAATGCAATATTATAAAACTGACTACCTTACTTGAATTTCTTTTAAATGATAGAGGGGCTAGTCTACTAGTCGATGATTGAAATGTTTCTTTTTTTAACTTTGGTATTACTTGGAATGACAAAAAAAAAAATAAAAATCTCTCATTTCTTAACTTTTTTATCAGAGCCTATAACGAAAATTTAAAACACATCTTTCGTAGATCTCGGTAACTTATATTAATGTTGAAAATTTTATCGAAATCGGTTCATGTTGTTATGAGTTACAACAAATTAGAGATCGCAAAAATCGCAGTTTTATCACGATTTTGACCAAAAATTGTAAAAAATCTGCAATTTTGAAAATCCTTCAACACCTGTAGCTCGACTCTGGGTTAACCGATTTCGATTAAATTTTCAGCGCGCATATAAGTTACCGAGTTCTACAAAAGGCATTCTTTAAATTTTCATTACAGACTCAGATAAAAAAGTTAAAAAACCAGGGTTTTTAATTTTGCCTTTTCATTCTAAGTAATAGCAAAATTAAAAAAGAGAAAGCTTTTTAGCCATCGTGTAGTAGACTAGCCCATCATCTAAAAAAATTCAAGTCATTTAGTTCAGTTTTCAAAAAGTTATTGCGTTTTAAAAGGTACGCGAATACTTTTGTGGCCCACTGTACGTCGTTCGATGTAAAAATATTTTGTCGACTTTATTATTCGATTTTGACCTATGTACGTGATGTGTGTAAACATTAGTCTACCTTTAGTAAGTTTATGAAGCAAGCTATGTATAAATTTAGTACGAAATCATCTCTCAGTGAATAAAGTGTACTTCTGTAATTTCCATAATTTAGAAATTTTTCATCATGACAATAACTAAACCAAAGAAAAGGTACTGTAATAAATTGTAATAAGCTAAAGAAATATCAGGAGAAACATACTAATGAAGGAATAACGATTATTCATTATTCATTTTAAATGATTCTATCTACTGATTCGAATAAATTACTCTCACAATTCTTTATCTGAATAAGTCATTCGAATAAAATCTTATTCGATTGAATATTCAATAGTGTCGAATAAAATTTTATTCGTCAGTCTTTATTTCGTAACCTATATACGAACAGAAATTTGTCCAACTCTGACAGGTACGTAGACGATCGTAGTGCCAATAATTATCACTAAAACTGAAATAACTTAAATAATAATAAAATTTCTTAGTTCAAATTTTTACTGCACTTTTTGTACATAATGTTAAAGAGAATTAGATACGAATTCTGCAATCCGATTTTTTCTTACAAAAAAAGTTTTCATTAGCGAAAATATTAATTGGCAAAATAATTTGCAAATTCGAATCAGCGTAGAAAATGCTATCAGAATGCATATTTTTAAAATTTAATATGCATATATTAAATCAATTAATAATAAAATCAATTTAATATGCATAATATGCATATTTTCTCGTATTTAAAAATACGAGATACTTTTTCTTCGAAGTATGTATGTACATACTTACGAGATATTTTAAATTTTTGTCCAATTTCTTCTCAAGCCTTCTGCCGCATTCTTCGGTTCATTTAATACGTTGATTTTATGTCAAATAAAACTTGATGATTGTTCACATGTTCAATAAGTAATTCCATTTTCTGTTGGGTTTCCATAATTTAGATTTCAATGTTATAAGAATTTGGTGCGTGGAATAGTTTGGATATGTGTATAACGTCACGTGAAATACAATTTCAGGAGTAATGTGTATAGGGTAGAAAATATAGGTAGAAAAAGATACTTATGTCACGACACGTAAAATCACGTGAAAATACGCAGCTTACGCTCTTCAAATATCACATGATTTTACGTGATTCCACGTAAGATGACAATTGTATGTCTCTACCTTTATTATCCATCGATCACCGCGACTTATAATATATATGCAGAAACATTAAATGTGCAACTGGTGGCTCACTCACCCGCAGTCGCGTCATGCACATATGTACAAGCGGAATTCAACGTAGTAGTGGTAACAGTTTCGTGCATATATCTCGTAAACTAAGGCTGACCGCCGATTTTTTAAAGGAAAAAGTTATTCAGAATATCATCGTTTATAACATATTTAAATTGCATCAAAATTCGTGAGGAACTAATACGTGGTGAACTTCACCAAAAACAATTACAATCATCTATAATGATTATTCGTAATAAAAAAAATGTAATTATTCATAATGTTTATTTATGACTAGAACACAGAAATTGATATTTTTTATTAATCACATTTTTTGAAAAATTTCTTTAAAATTCAATGACTGTCGTTCCTGTAAATAAAGATCAATTTTTCGTCAATGACCTTTTTAGATCAAGTTTTTAAAATAACTGTTATTTTTTACCTCTGCAGGAAAGTCGATTTTTGAAATACCTTTTATGACACAGTAACTAGTTTTATCGAATAATACTAGGTGCGACATCTACGGAAGAAACCTCAGTATATTTCGTCATCCTTGACGAATCAAGAACTCGGAGGATAAAGTTCTGTTATGCTGCCCGTTGATGCATCTTGTATGTGAATGAAGAAAACGAGTTGAACGATATTCGACTTAACCTGAAACAACTCGTATCATTCTCGTTTATTTATTCCTCGCTTACATCAGTGTCGTTTTCTTACAATACACGGAAATTTTAAATCTGTAATTCATCCTGACTCATCAGTTTATCGATTCTTATCTGAGTTGGCGCGCAAAAGAAAAGTGATGCTGGTTTAGTTCAGTCCGTTGGATACAGTGCTACTAATTGCATCGTCGACGTACATTGGAAAAAATTATAGAGATATTCGAGCACGTACGTACGAACATTTCATTTAACCATCTCTTGTACAATGATAGTGGGAATATTCAATTAGATATGCATTCGTTTGAATATTATGCTTCAATAATTTTTACGACTTGGATCATAAATCATCCGAGTTAATCGATAGTAATAACAGTGTGAAGTGCAATTTAAACGCATGTCTATCCACAATGTGACTTACCCTACTTAGTAGCGTGTTGTACACACACAGTAAACGTTATATACTGTACTATACATATTATGTATACGTAGATAACATTAACTACACTTTCAAGTGACAGATATATCTATAATTACCTTTATTGCGTTGTACTATTAGCAAATTATTTCAAATTATAAATTTCTTGTAATCCATGAAATTGTTCTTCTTATTTGTGCAAAATTATTGATGTTACAATAATATTTTTCAAATTAAAGATGATTTTGGAATCGTTTTGAAGGGGCGCATAATCTGAGATGATTAGTTTTTTGCGAGTAGATGTGTTCAGGTTGTATAAATAATTGCTTTTCTTTAAATGGGATAATACATCTTTTGTAACTCTATTGAGTGCAGCTCAAGATTTCCTTATGAGAAAATATGTATTGAAATGTTTGTAATGAAAACTACTTAGTTAGGAGATATTTTATTTGATAATGATTTTGATTTTGATCATGTTTGGGATTATGCGTATTTTCAAATAATTTTAAATATTCTATTTCAGAGTCTTTGTTTCGTAATTATTGAAACTATAAAAGTATTTTGGTGATTTATGATTCACTTAATACGTTGAATAAATTCATTAACCAGAAAGCATAAATTATATTATATATAATAATAGTTTCTTCGGAAACTATAAAATACTTTAACCTATTCATTGCCAACGAGATATCTCATAGTAAGCGTATATAGCCGACTGCGAGATCTTGGCGTATATGGCAAGATGCTTTAATTTTTCTTAGCATGGGTTAAGGTCTGCATTTTAACAAGATTTTATTTGTAAAAGAAGTTATATATAAATTTTTTACGTGATGTTTGACATGTAGATGTCCCAGTTTCCGCGCTTGTCCCAATTTACGTGCTCCCGGATTAAATATGTATAGAAAAAGAAAAGTTTTATTATAATTGATACCTCTCCTTGAATCTTACATGTTGATAGGTAAACATAATAAAAAATATAGACCATCAATTTATACATGAAACTCTTATTTTTCTATACGTTTTTAGGCATCAAAATTGCGACAGGCACGAAAATTGGGATATCTACCCATGTAATAATATGAAATAAAGAACATGCAATGTCATCAAAGAAAATCAAGGTGACCTAGATTTTTTATTGAGAAAATAATTTGTTTAAATTCAATATTTTATCGTGTAGCCGATAACAAACCGATACGAAACATTTTTTTGTTAGATGACATAAATGTATATGTATATTAAGAAATAGTTAATAGATATCGCAGCTAAGATATCGTGTTCTAATAGATGTTTGTAAACAAACGTTAGTTTGTACTCACTAACGTTTAATACTAAACTTAAAATATCTTCTAAATTAATGATCTGTCGCAATAAATGGCTTAGTCGTTATTTGGAAATAACGAGCTGCATCGGTTGGTGCAACAAAAAATATGTGATTTTGTTTTAAAAAATGAAAGTAATCTTCCGTACGCGTCTACCTAAAAAAATCTTAAAAATACCAGATTATGTACATGATACAACTGGATCCAGAGTAAATGTATTTAAAAATCATACGAGTATACGTGTACTTTGAATACTCATACAAGTCACTGTTTACTATTAAGATACTAATAATTCAATTGGTCTCGTTTTCGGGATTTCAATTTCGAATTAGAAATGGCCAGTTTCTATCAAACAAGTGACTACGATACGGTGATGTGAAAGAAGAGTATACAGATGATCTTTGTATTGGGAATATGTATAACGGAAATGCGTCTGTACGGCTACTTGATAATATTAGAAATAATTTCCCAATATCTACTATTGTGTACTGTGTAAAAGCAGCCACTCTAGCGCGGAGGACTGTAATGAAATTCGTAATCAGATCTAACCAAATTTTATTTGAAACGAAAATAAGAAATAACTATTTGAAACAATTTATTTCTATCCATTTGAAATAATAGCGATTTCAAATAATGAATTATTTCGTTATTTTTTATTTCGAATACGACAATGAAAATAATTATGAAATAAAATAACATTTTATTTGAAATATTATATCAAAAAATGTCATTTCTGTTAATTTAAATGAGTGTGAAATTTTCTTATATGTTAAGAAAACTAAATTTATTTATAAGGTACATTTCAATTACTACAATCCCACAAGCTACATTGTCAACAACCTTATAATATAACTCTCTGCTATTTTGCTTCTATTCTTCCAACCGTAGTGCATCCCCTAAATAAATTTATAATTCATCACATGTCCTTAAATTTATTCTGCATACCTATAATAATTTTAATATCATCCTGAAATTTTCAAATTTGTTTTTCCCTAGAGATTTTGCCACAATGTTTGCAATATTATTTTCCATATCGACTTTTACAATATCAATTATTCCTTTCTCATAGCATTCATACGATGTGATAATGAACTTCTAAATACTTAGACCTTTTTATGAAGTTTCTAAACATTGCAAAAAATTTGTAATAGTAACAGCTCATGAATGGTATTCGTATAAACATTTATAGTATTTTCAATGATAACTTTAAAATCTTTCACTAAACTTGTTATTACTTTTAATTTTCTAACAAATTCTAATAAAACAACATATTCAGCAACTGTTGACAACTTTGTCACACTATCCTGTTTTTTTTATTTCCAATAAACTACATTTACATATATTCTAATAACATATTCTGTTATCGATTCCCTATCTAATCCATTCTCAACACAGTCAGTATTAACAAAGCAATCAATTATTTCAACATTTACATTTCTTTTATGAACTAGTTTGAGATCTTTAATTGCTTATAAATATTTTAGAATTCTCAGTGCATATTTATAGCGGGTTTCATTATAGCAGCTTTGAAATCTACTTAAGTAGTTGACACTGTAACTAACATTGTGTCTAGTTCCTGTATTAATGTACAATAAACCGCCGACCAAGTTTCTAAATTTAATATCATTACATATTGACCGTACTGTGGTGCCACTTTCCAATTCCATCGGAGTACCATAAAATTTTGCATGCTCAATATTATATTTTCTAGCTAATGACTCAATATAATTCTTTTGGTTTAAATTCAGTTTTTATTTATTATAATCATATTCAATAGTTATACCTATATATGTTTTTACTTCTCCTAAATCTTCCACTGCAAATTTGTTTGACATTTTACTTTTAATACTCTCAAGTTTCTTCTCATTTTTTTCACAAATCAGTAACTCATCCACAAATATTATCAAGTAAATTGTACCAATATTGATCGTATATCATGTACAAACAATAGTCACTTTCACTTTTCTTGAAACCTAAATTTCTTATGTTTCTACTATCAAAACACTCATACCACATTTTTGGGCTTTCTTGCAAACCACACAAGGCCTTTTGTAATTTACAAACTCTATCCGTATCACCTTCATAATCCATTGGTTGGTTTACAAGATCTTCCGACTTAATAGTTCCATTCAAAAACGCTGTTTCTATATCCATTTGCATAATAATTAAGCCATTTTGGAAACAATATGACAATGACAGTAGTAAGGTTTGCATCCTAGCTACCAGTGAATATAAATTTTGTAACACTTCGGTATTACCAAATTTATTTGTAAACTTTCTTATCTGTAAGTGTTTGAAGTAACTTCCAAGTTTTATGTTTCTTTAAACATCTCATTTTCCTATCTATTGCTTGTTGCTATAATTCAGACTCATTACTTTTTAATGCGTGTTCAAAACTTAATGGATTATCTGCATTTACAAAATTTATATAAATACAACTTGAATAAACAGAATTCTCACTATACTTGACAGCTTTTTTTTCATTTGTTCTGATTTTTTCAATTCATGTTCTTCTCTATTACTTTGGTTATATGCAACCTTTCTGTTAGAAATTATGTTATTAATGTCATTTGAAATATGATCGCTTTTCATATCATCAATTGTCTTGTTGTAAAAATTGTATTGTTAATCAAAATTCTATATCTGACATTGTCATACTCCCATATAAACGTAAATTAATTTTATTTAGTTCCTGTGTAGCTAAGAT